TGAGGAGGCTCAATTGAACGGCTTCGAAGAGAGCATTGGTATGTCGACCGACAGTGACTACCTCATGTGCTTTTTCCACGTGGTTTCCAATGTAAAGAAGCGTCTGAGTGGAATTTCTGAACAATTCATACAAATAATTTTTCGAGATATATATGACCTTCACTACTCTCGGAATGCGGACGAATATGAGTCAACAAAGAGTCTGCCATGGTGAAATGGAATGCACGTTCTGATCTGGCGGATTTCATATCTTACTTTGAAAAGCAGTGGTTAAGTTCCAAGTTCAATAAGTGGCAGTATTTTCGTTCCCCGTGTGGGTTTGCCAAGACGAACAACCCAGCAGAGACTTTCAACAAAATGATTAAACGGGACTACAGCTTACATGTTCGCCTGAAAATGGATGATATAACTCAAAAATTGCTGAAGCTTTGTCGACATCAATCAGTGACAGGTCGTGATTTTACTACTGCTACAATGCCTAGTTCGGAAATGGTGTCGAGGGTCAAGAAATTATTCAACGCATCCTTGCTGTTGGTTTCCAACCCAAATTGCAATCTTAACCTCTTGCTCGCAGATAGCACAGCGTCCGATGATAAAGTTGTGGTAAAAAGTATCTACAGTGCTACCGATGCTGCAGACGCAAAGCAAAAAGGAGATGTCAACGAGCGCCGTATGGAGCATTTCCGTCAGCCCTGTAATGGCTGGGTTGTCGACACCGGTAAGAGAAGTTGTAACTGCAGTGCATATTTCAAGTACGCGTGTTGCGTTCATGTGCTGGCAGCTTTGAGATCACGAAACGTAACGATTCCTGGGTGGAAAGGTTCGCAATGAGTTTTTATAAGTAGGCGACTTAACCGCAAGCGGGATACAGGTGAAGGTCGAGAACACAACGGCTCAGCAGGAAATGACCAAACTGATCGGAGAAGCGACGCTAACAGACGGGTACGAGGGCGAAGTAGTGGTCGAGGACGTGGAAGCAGTCGAGGGCGACGCGGAAGACGATTTGAGCTAGTCCTAGAAACGAATGGCAACGAAGCCCCCGTCGGCAGACCGCGTCGGGTTCAGGATGCATTGTCGTTTGACTAGAAATTTCATTACGGGTGATATGTACAAGTTGTGCTACTGTCACTTCTTTTAAAAAATAAAAATGTTCTTTTACACTAGTGTCTTTATTAATCTAAACAAACAATTGTACATACTTTTTATCGCGTACCGGGCGATACGTAGAACAGGTTGGCGTTGATGTACCTTTTTAATTAACTTCAGGGGAACACTTAAAAAGTTGTACTATAAAGTGGCGACTGACATACTACATTAGTTGTACTGCATTTTAAACCAAAACCACGTAGACAGGTACTTTTCTACTGATATGTGGAATGGCATAGCCCTCTTTTTTTAGGACGATGAAGCGTTTTCGTATAGGGGGAACACAAAAAAGAATGGATGTGAGAAACTTCAACATGCCAAATCTTCTTGTAGGTTTTACATCACACTACACTTATGGATCAATGAAATACGTTGATAGATTCCGCATCGAATGTGGTCTCGAACAATATCACAACCGCTTCTTTTTTAAAGTGTGTTTTTATTGTCAGGGGACCACTTGTATTTCGTCAATTAGATTTGCATAGATCGTTAAAGAACATGTTGACGTTAAGAAGATATTGTAAGGGATTTAAAAAGAAATCATAATGCATTTACTTCTTAAAAGTACGGGCAAAAGCTA